AGAGTGTTGTTCAGCATGGGGGTGAGTAGAAAATGAAGGCTAATCATGTTTTGGGTGTACTATTCCTTTAAGATGAACATTGGATGCTGATTGGCTTTTGTGGAGGCGTGGTTCAAAGCTGATTGGCTGGATGAAGGCCAGTAATCAGTTTATTCAGTTGAACTTCTGCCTAGGCTCAATTTATCAGGAAAAAATACAGAGAAAAGCAAATAGAATCCCTCAACAAGTTATTATATCTATGACATTTAGGCTACGTTCACATTGCAGGCTTTAATGCTCAATTCTGATTTTTTTTTTTTGGGGCTGTTGTTCACATTTCCAAATATATGTGACTTGTAAGTGATCTCGAGTGAACTGCAGTCACACACCTTAAATGTACCGCATGCAGAAGAAGGAAATTAATGGAATTAAATATTACCAGAGCATTAAATAAAGAAAGAAAGAATCATCTGATGATGATTGTTTGATTTTTGTGGCAGAAGCTGCTGTTTCAGGTCTAATGAACTTGTTTCAACAGCAGACCATGTGACTGTGTTGCCCAGTGATCTGCCACTCAGATAAGGCAGAGTAGATCTTACCCAACCAGTTCTGTCTGGTTTTAGGCCAGAAAGTTTAGCAACTTTGCAAGTTATTTTTGTCTCTGCTCAAAAACAACATTCTGTAGGGTCAAAAAACGCTGCATGACCCTTCAAAATAAAACAGAGCATTTTTCTTGAAACTTTTCTCGTAAAAAAATATGGGTTTAATGTTTACATTAAGATTTATGTTATTTTCGTTGTGACCTTTTAAATTAATAAGAACCAGATCAATGAATGGAAATTATTTTGGAATAAAAAAACAAACATAAAGACAAGAAAAAGTACTTTTAAAATATTCTGTACAGCCTAAGTGTAAAAATACAGAAGCCCAGAGAGGTCGTGTCACCCCGATACTTTGGACTAACTGGATGTTTGCTCTCTACCTCAGCATTGACAGTTATTACCGTGCTGCATTACTCCATAAGGTTAAGAATAGTATTGGTTTCTACCTGGATAAAAGTTGGATAGCTTCTAGTTAGAGTGGTATCTCTATAGTTATGCTGCTATAGGGTTAAACTGCTGGAGGACATAAAGGGAGTTTTTCCTCTCCATTGTCGCTACAAGCATGCTTAGTGTTAGGGATTACCTTCGAGTCAATAAGTCGATGCAATCAGCTGGTTTTCCTTAGATAGAAAACTTTAAAATGATCTGACTGGAGGATCTGGTTGAACTGTGAAGTGTTTGAGATGACATGATGTGAATTGGCGCTATAGAAATAAACTGAATTGTTTTCTATAGTGTATAAGTGAAAATGGCAAATGTTACACTGAAGCTGCAACGAAGGGAGTTTAATGGCAAATCTCAAGGTAGAACAAAAAAGATAAAGAAAATTCAGACGTTCTAAAATCAGGATGATTTTCCTCAGCTTCCTCTTCTTGTATTAATATGATGCAATTTAATGAAGCCCAAGCATTTACAGATTCATGATCAGTAAATCTGCATTGAGTTAGTGAGCCGATAACCAGCTTAGTGGTACCACTGATCCTGATTTTCATTGTTGTGGACTGGTTAAACTGGACTGACTGGGAGTAATCCCACTAGGTTGAATTTGCTTTGCGGTACGGGACTCTGGTTTAAAATCTGTTTGTGAGGAAATTGACAACAAACACAAATATTACATTTCATTTTTCTATATCGATTTACAAATTTAGACATCTATTTGTAGTTTTTTTGACAGTTATCTTACCTCATAGAAATAATGAATAAGGTTAAAGGTCATTAGCACAGTCTGATGTTTGCGTGTTGTTGCAAAAGCAGACTATGCAAATCCTCGCAAGGCTGCATTTCGCAATGCTCCACTTTACTTTGGCCAAAACCATCTGTTTTACAGAAACAGTTATCTCATCAAACAGAACTCTCCTGTAGT